AGAGTGGCTCTTAGCACAGCACATGCTCAGTTTATGGGGTAACACCTCCGCACACGACTTATTCAAGGTCAGACCAGTGACGCTCCAATCAAACTGCAGTGCAATGTCCTTATAGGAACCGCTCTAAACTGGTCTGGTGACAAATGAATGTAGCGGGTATTGTTTTAGTGAAAGATCAAACAAATTCTGTCAGTCAAAACAGAAGAAGTGAAAGATGGCAAAAGACGAAGTTTGTTGACAAAAGAGAGTAGTCCTCACAGGGTTTGTTGACAGAAATGCGAGCAGGTGGCCAGCCATTAAGTTTCCACACAAAGCCTGCTGACACATTTTGCTTTTAATTCTCATAGAAAACCATGAACGACCACAATTAATTTTCCAGACAGAAAAGATCTTTATTCTATACTGACAGGGGAAGACCAGTTACTGTATTTCACTGCAGATTTTTCCTCAGCACAATAGCAAGACTGAAAGTGTCTTCATTTAAATGCCCTAGAAATCATCTCATTACTTTGCAATCATGTGGATAAGTTCTTGGAGAGCTACTGTGAATGGGCTAATGATAGAACTAACTATCTTCACATTAACAATTGTAGTCCCTAACCCAAATGCCAACCTCGCCCCTTTCGTCCGCCACAGTGGTCTCTAATGAGTTGCCTGAAATAATTCACTGGAATAACAAAAAGATAGCATGGTGATCATGCAAAAGGAGCAAAGTCAGAGGAACATAGAGGTCAAACATAGAGGAAGCAACTTCTATTACTTCTAACAGGCTGTTAAATAACATCAAAATGGCCACAGAAACCAGAGTTTCTAAAAAAAAATAAAAAAAATTTCATTTACTTGTTTCAAAAGTATATGACTTTTTCCAGAATTTAGTTGTTTTACTGTCCTTTTTGATACACAAATGGAGGTGTGACACAGGCGCTATTTACAACTGTGTGTTTAATTGTGCATGTAAATCCAAGCACAAGTAGATGAGACTAAGAACAAAAGTAAATGACTCACAAATTTTGTGAGACCAACTTTCAACCACCTCCAGAGGTGCAAGAAAATGTATTTGACCGGACTGCTTTAATATTGTTAAAAAAACAGAAGGATTAAAAATCTTTTGTACCTAGAAATGTGTCTCCCTCGTCTACTTGTGATGCAACTGAACAAAACACATTTTATACCCTTATGCATTCATTTTTATTTTCGTCTTAGTCCCTTTATTAATCAGGGGTCGCCACAGAGGAATGAACTGCCAACTTATCCAGCATATGTTTTACACAGCGTATGCCCTTCCAGCTGCAACCCATTTTTGGGAAACATCCATACGTTCTCATTCACACACATACACTACGGACAATTTAGCTTATGCAATTCACCTATAGCGCATGTCTTTGGATTGTGGGGGAAACCGAAGCACCCAGAAGAATACCCACGCAAACACAGGGAGAACATGCAAACTCCACATAGAAATGCCAACTGACCCAGCCAAGGCTCAAACCAGTGACCTTATTGCTGAGGCAACAGCACTACCGCCCAATTTATTGGTTTTTTACATTAAAATATCAATCTTTGTTTTTGTACTTAATAAATAAAATATGAAAGTTACATGGACTCAAAATGTGAACTAAATCTGACAGCATCGTTCCATGAGCATTGCAGCAGATTGCACAATAAGAACAGATGTTAAAAAAAAAAAAAAAAAAAAAAAAAGTATTAGTTTGTAATTTTACTCTAGTTTAATTCAGGAACAGATGTTAGAGTTGAATGTTCTGTTATGTGATGTTTTGATGGGTTACCACTGTGGTAAACTGTAGAGCCTGTGGTTTTGTCAAGGATGACTAGTCAAATTTCAAGACTAAATACTGCATGTTGCTTAAAAAAACACATGCAAGTCTCTTCTGTAGTTAGATTAGCACATATTAATGTGTTGTGGTGGCTAACTAGCACATGACCATTACCATAAATGAGTTAATCTGTAGTAGTTTATTTATTCATTCATTCATTTTCTTTTCGATTTAGCCCCTTTATTAATCCGGGGTCGCCACAGCAGAATGAACCGCCAACTTATCCAGTTAATGTTTTATGCAGCAGATTTACTGCTGCAACCCATCTCTGGGAAATTAGAAATTTATTAAATCGTAATTAACAACATGTTTGAAATTGTGTATAAAAAACATAAGCTAACTTAATCTTTGAGCTAGGTAACTTAGAAGAAGTTAGTTTGCGTGCTTTGAGGTCACAGATTTCCATGTTTAATAGAATTGTAAATTCATTCATTCATTCATTTATTCATTTTCTTTTCGGCTTAGTTCCTTTATTAATCCGGGGTCGCCACAGTGGAATGAACTGCCAACTTATCCAGCACGTTTTATGCAGCGGATGCCCTTCCAGTCGCAACCCATCTCTGGGAAACATCTATTTACACTCATACACTACAGACAATTTTAGCATTCCCGATTCACCTATACCACGTCTTTGGACTGTGAGTGAAACCGTAGCACCTGGAGTTTAGTTTAGTTTAGTTTATTTATATAGCACATTTTTTACAACACAACGTTGCCCAAACTGCTGAACACAATCAATACTAAACATGAAATCTACATCACATAAATAACAATTAAAACATAAGGCAAATCCCTCAACATTAAAAAGGCTCAAATACTAAGGAACAAAGATGGTGTTTCAAACACTTTTTAAAAACAGGTAGAGTTGGAGCATGTCTGATGTGGGGCCGAAGCCCGTTCCAGAGTTTTGGGGCGACAACAGCAAAAGCCCGATCCCCACTTCGCTTACACCGGGACCTTGGTACAGATAGAATAAATTCATCAGAAGACCTCAGTGACCTACCTGGATTGTATACGTGTAGCAGGTCTGATAAGTATGATGGTGCCAGATTGTTTAAGGATTTAAAAACAAAGATTAATAGTTTAAAATCAATTCTTGACCTAACAGGCAGCCAGCCCAGAGAGGAAAGAACTGGGGATATGTGCTCAAACATGCGAGTCCCTGTCAGAAGTCTCGCAGCTGCATTTTGTACTAATTGCAATCTGTTTAGGGCATTTTGACTAATACCCACATACAGAGAATTACAATAGTCAAGTCTTCCCAGAATAAAAGCATGGATCACCTTCTCAAGGTCATTAAAAGAGAGAAACGACTTTACTTTTGCCACAAGTCGTAGATGGTAAAAAGAGAACATGCAAACTACACACAGAAATGCCAACTGACCCAGCCAAGACTCGAACCAGCGACCTTCTTGCTGTGAGGCGACAGCACTACCTACTGCGCCACTGCGTCATCGAAGTGTAAATTCTAAATTTATTTTTAAAGCGAGTTTAAATGAAATGAGAGCGAGTGAATGACAGAATTTAGATTTTGGGGTAAATCTCTTTAGAAGTGTCAAATTATCATTATAATCAGAAAACAAACAAACCTAGCTTTAAATATATCTGTACACAAACTTAAAATATGCAACAAATAAAGTATATTTGGGCAGTAATCATTGCTGGAAGATGAAGACAACATGTTTTTGTATAATATTATATATTTTAAGATATTTTCTTTCCTTTAAATTACATGAAACACTGTTAAATTACCAAAAAGTGATCAAAACCATTTAGCTCAATAAACAATGAATAACCCCAAAACAAGGAAAAGAATAAAAACATTTTTCAAGACCAACAGTTGTTTGTGAGGGCGAACTTTTGCACTCATGGCAAATTAAATAATTGTGTCCAGTCAGCAAGTTGATGGCTGCCAAGTTGCTGTTCAGTGAAACTCGCAGAACTAAAAACATTTGCACAGGAAACAAACAAACACACTAGTATTTTAAAACGCAATAGATGACAGAATTATGAGTGTTTTAGATGGCACACACATAAATAAAACACTAAAATACACTAAAGACGGGGATTTACTGGACTACTTAAAAGTGTCATTTCATAAAGTGTGTACCAAGTTGGTTCTTACAATGTTTATAACTCTTCAGTAGAGTTTATCATCAAAATAAGCTGCTTCAATCTGCTAAGTGAGCAACTGTTAAATCAAAAAGAAGCAGTTCTCTGAATTGTATGGGGATAACATGGCTTTCAGTTGGAGTCAAAATTATTAGCCCTCCTTTAATTTATTTATTTTTTTTAATATTACACAAATGATGATGAACAGATTCTGGAAATTTTCACAGTATGGTTGATAATATTTTTTTCTTCTGGAGAAAGTCTTATTTGTTTTATTTCGGCTAGAATAAAAGCAGTTTTTAATTTTTTAAAACACCATTTTAAGGTCAAAATTATTAGCCCCTTTAACCCCTTTTTTTTCGATAGTCTACAGAACAAGTTAGTTAATCTTTTAAATGTCACTTAAAGCTGTATAGAAGTGTCTTGAAAAATATCTAATAAGATATTATGTACTGTCATCATTGCAAAGATAAAATAAATCAGTTATTAGAGATGAGTTATTAAAGCTATGTTTACAAATGTGTTTCTAAAAAATCTTCTCTCCGTAAAATTGGGAAAAAATAAACAGGGTGGCTAACAATTCTGACTTTAACTGTATGTGTGATGATAAACTGTTTTACTACCTGTGCCAAGGCCAAGAGTAGTAATCGCAAGGCAATAAAACAATTTAATCTTTGAAAAAGGCCTGAGGTTTTACTAAATCTATAGTGAGGACAAGATAAAAGACACAGGATTTCTTTTTTTCTGGTTTGACAAACATGAGATCAAGTTCAGGAAGAGCCCAGACCTCCTGATCCAAAACCATGTGATTATTAACAGTGACACAGACAACAAATGACATTAGATTTAGGGAAGTACTTTATGAGAAAGATCATTGTTGATGTGATGATGAGCTGCAACCTAACGTAAACATCATGTTTGCATATACATCTAGCCCCTCTTGAACTGCTTATGATGCTATGGAAAATATCCGAGGGGCTCCTACAAATTTCATCAGTAGCAAAAGTCTGACCATAATCTTTTCTTTGGCCTAAATCCAGTGCATGCATTTACCTTCAGCGATAAGCTCCTCCACAGTCACTTGGTATCGACCGACAGCAAACACCTTCCCAATGTAGTTGCTGCTTCCAGTACCAGATCCAGACCCACCCCCGAGACTTCCGCTCTCAGACTTCGGCATTCGCGAAAACTTCTTCATTCTTGCCTCTAATTTTCCCGCCTTCCCCAAAACGGACAGTTCCAAACGAGCCAAAGACGATTAAAACTCCAGTCTGCTCATGATCTCAGCTCTTTTGTCCAGCATGCTGAGAGATCTGCTCTCCCAAGATGCGCCAGGCACTTCAGCGCTCGAGGGACGCAGAAAGGCGTCGCTGAATGCTTCCTTATTTCCCCCAAAAGCCAGGCGAAGCAACAGCATAGAAGTAAAGCGTTTTGTCGTTAATGAGTGACAACAACACGAGCACGACCGCTGTGTTTCCAGGCCGACTCCAGTCTCGGCTGGCTAGCGAGCCTTTGCGAGAGCCAGAGAGACCATTTGCCTCGCTAGCTGGCTAACAACAGCGAAACGCTCCGTTCAGCACACGCATGCTTTATGTGGAAAGCCGAAGTTGGTTAAAGTCCCGGTTATTTGAAACCAACGCGAACAACAAGCAGACTGAAAGTGGGTGTGTTGGGCGGAAGCTACGCTAGCGAAACTCTTAAACGATGGTTGCTGCCACTTCCCCTTTGGATAGTTCAGTTAGCCAGCTCGCTAGCTGACTGGCTTCCTCTATCTGCTTGAGGAGGACACCGCGTTTCATAGTAAAGCACGCGACTGCAAAAATAATCCCGCAGTCCTCGGCGCAGCAGCGCGTTCGGGGTGTTTTCGCGGCTAGCGTCGGTTACCGTGTGCACGGCGGGCGGGCGGCGCGCTTCTTCCTCGTGTTCTGGAAGTCCCCCGTCACACTGATAAAGTTGGAACTCTCGTGACTCGCCGTAGATTTAGTGGGAGGTTTGTTATTGCCCAATCCGCCTGTCTGACAACCTAACTTTGCTTTTGTCCGTTTCCTTCCCATTGTCATGATTGGTGTGAGCGAGGCGCGTCCTGCAGATGCTCTGCTCTGATGGGGCGGCCTGGGTGACTGTCTCTGCCTGCGTTTTGTTCAGCAGTTTGAAGATCGTGCAGTCGGTGAAAGATGTGAATGGGTGGTTTGGGAGAGTGTGGAGAGCTGACTGCCACTTTCCTCTTTTGTGTCCTAGTGTGTTTTTTTAGAATGATTGGATAGATTTCTATCTAATATTAAAAACAGATTGTTCTTAAAACGGGGATTTAATGTAAACAGAAATTACACATCGATTAACATCTCTGAACGCATTACTAAAATGGTGAATTTAGAGTTCAAATGGTCCTTTACAGTTTGGTTGCATGACAATATATATTTTTTAAATATTAAATAAATTGTCCTGTAGTTTCGAACGTTTAAATTAATCTAAAAGGAATTAGGAATACTGGTTACTTGGACTGTTTTAGGCTACCTAAAACTCATCTTTTTAGGACTTTTTTTAAAATTTGTGATATCCCCTTTATTCTTACTGTGTTTTTATTGTATTTTTTAATGTCTTTACTTTATTGTAGACGCTTTGGGTTTTAAAAAAGCGTGTTATAAATAAAATGTATTATTATTATAATTAAAAGCTAATTAATTATTAAGAAATCATACTTAATAGTTTTCCCCAGGGATGGGTTGCAGCTGGAAGGGCATCCGCTGTGTAAAACATATGCTGGATAAGTTGGCAGTTCATTCCGCTGTGGCGACCCCGGATTAATAAAGGGACTAAGCCGAATAGAAAATGAATGAATAATTAATAGAAAGCAAACTAATTAATAAGCAAGCCATTTTGTCCCATGGTCTCTACTGAGTAAAATCGTATTTAGTGTAAATGTTAATTCATTGATTCATTCCGCATCTTTATTACATTTCAGTTTATTTTCAATATATTTAATAAATGTCTGTTATTGTGAAATAATTTATAAGCACCTCCTTTAACTGTCAATGTTTTACTAATTTAAGAAAAGATTAAAGATGACTATTGTTGTCATTTTCAAACAAGTTTTGGGGAAAATTTCACACATATGCCTATTATTTAACACAATATTGACAGAGATTACATCAGATTGAGACAGCCACGTGATAATAACCAGTCTGAGCAGACAACATAAGACCATTTGAGGATCTTCAGGTACATCTGTTACTCAGATTGTTAAAATGTCCTGCCCTCTAATAGACAAACACTGTAAAATGTGTTCTTCGTATACACAACATGTATATATAGTGCTCAGTGACTGAGTACAACCCATTTTAAAAAAAATTTTTTTTTCCATTTCTCAATGAATTTGGGTAACATTGGTGAATTTAAACAAAACTTTTTTTGTTTAAACAGATATATTTATTAAAATAATATTTTAGTCATAGAACATATTTAGAACTAGAAAGATAATGTAATTAAATTCAAGCAAAATGTTGCAAAATATATACAAACTACAACATTTCAACAAAATTTTAAATATATTTGTTTCTCTTGATTTTTGCTTTATTTTGAAAATTGTAATAAATATTGTTTTCCTACGTACATTTTGGGCTTTTTTAAAACTATTATTGTAAGTTATTGTGTTAGATTAGCTCAAGATTTGGCTTCAGTACGACTTAACTTCTGTATATATAATATTGTAATGCTTCCTATAGAAAAATATGAATTTAATCGAGAGATTTGTGAGCGGTGTACTCATATATGCTGAGCACTCTCTCTATATTTTTTATATTCAGATTTTAGATTCAATGTTTAAAGTACAGAAAACAACACAGGTATGTGCTGAATGTCTGCATGAGAAAGCTCATATATAAATTGTAATATTCAGCAAAGAAAAATGTCAATGGCTGTAAAGCTGTATGCAGAAAATGCTTCTACAAATGTGACAGCTATCTGATAATAGCAAGAGATGTAGGTCGATGGAGAAGTACAGGACCAAATTGGTGTCTGGGATTATTACATGGGATTAATGAGAATCTGCTGTTCCCTCGAGCGCTTCACTACCTCAATACAGATCATCTCCCCTGACTGTGTGCAGTTTCATCAGCAGCAGCAGCTCCCTGAACAGATGACTCAACGTTCGGCACATTACAAGAACGCCTAGCTTTATTCTCAAGTGTGCAGTTAGGATTTTTTAACATGCTTTGTTGACTGTTGTACCACTTTAGAGACTTGTGCTTCAGCATAAGTATTATCATATTTCAGATACAGATATATATATATATATATATATATATATATATATATATATATATATATATATATATATATATATATATATATATATATACACAGTTGCAGTCAGAATTATTAACCCCCCTCAATTATTAGACCGCGTGTTTATTTTTTCCCCAATTTCTGTTTAACAGAGAGAAGATTTTTTTTCAACACATTTCTAAACATAATAGTTTCTAATATATGTCTTATAACTCATTTCTAATAATGGATTTATTTTATCTTTACTATGAAGACAGTAAATAATATTTGACTAGATATTTTTCAAGACACTTCTATACAGACTAAAGTGACATTTAAAGGCTTAACTAGGTTAATTAGGTTAATCAGGCAGGTTAAGGGTAATTAATTAGGCAAGTTATTGTATAAAGATGGTTTGTTCTGTATAATTATCGAGAAAAAATATAGCATAAAGGGGCTAATATATTTGTCCTTAGATTGGTGGTTAAAAAAAATCCTAGCCAAAATAAAACAAGACTTTTTCCAGAGGAAAAAATATTCAACTGTGTGTGTGTGTGTGTGTGTGTGTGTGTGTGTGTGTGTATGTATGTGTATATATATATATATATATATATATATATATATATATATATATATATATACACACACACATATATAATGTAACTAGTAGATCTACACTCTGCAAGAAAGTCTGGCTACAATATAAACTAAAATAAATCAAATCAAAAGGCGAATGTTCAAAATCTCAAGCAGGAACCATGTGGAACGAGAAAAGCCAATTAAAAGGTACAAAATAATGTAAAAAAAATAAAATAAAAAAACTACTGATGAGCAACAGGCAATCAATACATTTTTCTTCATGACATTTTAGGTTTGGCAAACTGCCATCAATGCTGGCTCTGAGGTAATTAAAGTGTGGAAGGTCAATTAAATAAAATGACAGAGGCAGAAACAGACAGGGACAGAACAACAGAGTGGCATTTAGTCCAGTGACTCAGATAATGACTATAAATCATATTAAACAACATAAAGAGAATCCACGTCACATAGGAACAGCAAAAAATGCCAAGAAAGAGTAATAACTGCAGTGGGGTTTATTCAAGTGTTAAAAAGTTACGTTTTTACAGCTGCCATTCCCCACCTTTACCAGCTGTAAATAAGATATATGAATGAGTTTTTCCAAAAACATGTTAAAATCCCATAAAAGAAAACCTTTTTATTCAAATTGACAGCTGAACACATGGCTTGCTTTCATATAGGACACCGTGGATTGCATCTGGATTAGTCGTCTCCTCCGCAAATCATCTTTAGACAGTCAGCATAATCGCCAGACACATCAGACTGATATGAAAAGAGCAAAGTTATCAGCAGTCATTATCAGTACAGACTGTACCATTACATTAGATTTAAGAACAAATGGTATAACTCTCAGTTGTCAGCAGTTAATAAGTATTACTTGCATTGAAATATATCAGATGGCCTGAGCTGAAGTTGAGTGCAGAATACTTACACTTATTGCCTTGTAAAGTGAGCTCTTATAAAGCGTCTTGTATTCAGCTCTGATGTCCAGCATGTCAACCTCCCCACGGCTGACCATTACTCTGGTCAGAGTGGTTTCATCTGTACCTGCTCCCTGTAGATTTACAAATATACAACAATACAAACATTAGTACCTTACAAATACAGAGATTGAGACTAGTGTATGTCAATCAGTACCTTCATGCTTTTGTTGAGTTTTTCAGCAAAGTATGCAGGAGTACTTATTGCACACTTTACTATAATGAAAACAAGTTGATTAAAATAGTAAACCAATTATTTTACAATCTATTTGCATGCAGAATTCATAAACTTACCAATGGAAACTAGGAGTTCTTCCAGGTTTCCGGACATTTCTTTCTCAATGCTCTTCTGCAAAGTATTCTTACTGAAGTTTTTATATTCCAATATTGCTGGAACATGACAAATTAGCTTTAAAACACAATTCCAACTGTATGTCAAATGCTTGAGTTTATAAGGATGATTATGTTGGTACTTTGTCTCAGTTGAGGGAAGCTCCGTTTACAGAGGATCTCAATGAACTTGGACTCATCGGTTCCCAGTTTCTTCTCGCCTGCTTGATAGAGGGCCTATAGAGGAAAAAGAAAAATCACACCTAATACAACATAATCTTTGACACAGATAAAGGTGAATAGATTTTAGCTTGCTCACCAATATGGAGTATTCCTTTTAACTGTGACGTGTACATTTTTTTAACTACACTCTAAAAGGCTGGGTTGTTTCAGCTCAAATTTGGATCAAATTTGGACAAATCCAAACTCTGGGTTTAAAACTTTGGCTCCAATTTATATTAATTGGCATTAACTAATATGTTCTTATACTGAAATTATTAATTTGTTGCAATGTCCGTATTGTTTAAATATGTGGAAATGCTATGCGGAAACTTCCACTATATATGGGGATTTCGTCAGAATCCAATCATCTGAAAGAATATATAAACAGGCCAACGAAATGGCAATGAGTTGGCAGCGTCAGTATGCACAGCTGTCGCTACTTATGATTAATTTGGAATAAAAGCGCAGCACGTGCCAAGCTGAGGCATCCTTTTCTAGCTGAAGAGCCTTTCATGCCCAACCGCTAAAGGGCAATCATTGTGGCAAAGGAACATAGCGTTTCCTTTCCCTCCTTCGGAGAACGAGGGTTAACTTAATAACCGGAACGTTCCCCTTCAGGAGGGGAACTTCAATGCTATGAGGAAACTTCCACTGTGGGGAAATGTATGGAAAACGCCTTAATGATTGAACCTTACCTTGCTCCCAATGAGAGATTATGCCAAGCCAAGAGCTGACAAACAGGCATGCCAAAAATGTAACGGCCAACACCTGACTCCTCCGCCGAGTCAGATGCTGGGAGCCTCGGAGGAATCTCGACAGGGCTCGCCAAGAGGGGAACTCAACTGACAAAGCGAGAA